CACCCACCACACACATTCTTCTTCTCCCTTTTGAGGACTTCTCCTTCTTACTCTCTCCGTTCCCTCTTCCTCCCCCTTCATCACTGCCTCCCTGTCTTCCTTACTCCCTCTCCTTCCCTCCACCTTCATCCTGCCCCCCTTTCTTCCTCGTCGGCCTCCCCTCTGACTTGCACGGCGCTCTTGCTAGCACTTAGAAGTTATGGTTTGTGGCGGCTGAGCTGACAGCGCTACAGCGGAGGGCGAGATAAGGCTGTGACCTCTCTGGCCGGAGAGGATGAGATGAATACATTTTACGCCCTGTGTGATGGGAGGCTTGGGAGGGAGGGGGAGAGGAAGCAGGGGAGAGGGGTGTGCCCCCCCCACTCCACTAAATCTGCAGTATCTGTAACAAGGGCTTCAGACAGGAGGGATGGGGAGGACGAGAGGGGGAAGGGAGGCGAAGACAGATAGAGGGGTAGTAAGTAGTAAGTTAGATGTTGGTTTGTTATATACGTGTGTAAATATATAACTATATATATATTTAGAGACAGAGCGGGTGAGACAGAGAGAGAGAGTACGGCTCCTCTTTCTCCCCAAGGCCTGATATCCTGATATTGGATGATGTTTCATAATCAAGGCCTCCTGCCACAAGGCCACGATTCATCACCCTGAATAGACTTTCAGTGTGTGTGTGTGTGTGTGTATGTGTGTGTGAGTGTTTGTACAGTACAGTATACGTGTGTGTCTGCAGGTATTTTTTTCACCATGTCTAGGTTGGATCCATTTTTTCTGTTTTTCTTTGGAATCTTTAAGACGTTAATTAAAATTTGCTGCACACTTGCCCCCGATCTTAAAATCGTGAGATACCACAGACACATTTTTAATCTTATAATCATCAGATACACACCCTGGAGGATTTGGCCAGATCATCACAACACACCACTTTTGCATTGTTATTTTTCTTCTCCAGTTATTTTATGGCGATTGGCAAACGACTTTTAGGTGCATTACCGCCACCTTCTGAACTGGAGTGGGAAAAACTTTGTGATTGAACGTGACTTCAGATTGTGACAAGAAAATTTAACACGGAGGAGGATGGACATCATGTGTTCTATTTTACGTTTGCTATCTATGACTTGAGATCGATGCTCCTCTGACTCAATCGTAGCATTACGATTATTTTGCACAAGTTGGTTTGACACTGTCAGCTGGAACATGGAAATAAGCGAACACCTGAAAACGCAGCTGCAAAGTTTAGATCTTAAACGTCCCAAAACAGACCAAACTTCTGCCTCTGTCCTCTAAGTGTGTCTTTGTGTGAGTGTGTGCGTGTTTTGTGTGTCTCTTTTACTCATATGTGTGTATACCAAGGGCATCATTTATCCAGCGGCCCAGAGGCAAAAACAACTTGCTGCCAGTATTGATGGTTCCTCCTGCAGTACCTGTGTGGATTGGGTTCAGAGGTCACCAGTCACAGGCAATCAGGAGTAAATGGAGCCTGTGTAACACCAGACAAACGGCTAAGAGCTTTAGAACAAAACCAAGGCCGCTGTCCTGTGTGTGTGTCGTCTTATATATATATATGTGTGTGTGTGTGTGTGTGTGTGTGTGTGTGTGTACATCACAGCAACACCCAACTCCCTTATTTCACTCAACCTCAGCCACTGTAACAGGATTAATTCCCGTTTATTTCCCAGCGTCTTGACCTTGTTCATGATGCATTTATCCTACAAGACTGCTGACCTCACCAAAAAGTCACATAATTTTTCTATATTTAACGAAATGAAATGATGCTGTATGAGACGCTCAGCAGCCAAAACACATTTTCCAATCCGTTTTGTCCCCCTATTGTCAGCTCCCCCCGTCAGCCTCGTCCTCTGCTCATCTGCACACTAATCCAGCCGTCCTCCATTGTCTGGCTGACTCTCCCAGCCTGAACTCCGAGATCCTGCAGTAGCTCGTGGGAGGCGGGAGTCGAGCGGATGAATTTGGCGTCTCGGAGTGGGACGAGTGGAAGGAGGGACGGGCGGAAGACACGTATCACAGATGAATTAAAGTCACTGATCCGCCCTGCCTTAACTCACTCTTACATCATCATAAAACATCATCCAATTTACCAGCACTGTCGGAGAGGAACCATAACACATTTGCATAATGCAGCGTCTTCACTATGTTAATTCCCTCCTCAACCCGGGCTCTTTTTTGAGTTTAGACTTATTCTACCCCTCTCTCGCTCGGTGCATTTTTGTGTGCACGAGTGCATTACACCATGCCAGCATGTCGATGACTGTGGCAGATTACGGAGGTAAATGAGGCTCTCCAAAGCCCTCCAAGCTCTCCACACAGCCGCGTGGTCGTCAGCGATACCGCAGGGCATCGCAGGAGGAGCAATAGAAACACATTACTGCCGAAATCACATTGCTCTCCCCCGCTGAGGGGTGTAAGTTACCAGGGAAATGGATGAAGCACACAGGGGGGAAGAGGTGGTGGGGGTTCTAGGGAGGGGGGCTGATGGTAGCAGAGTTGAGATTCAGCCTCACTATTTTTTATTTGCACTGAAACGTGTGATTTCCTTTTTAATTTATTGCCTGTGTGAAATATGGAATATGGTTAAATTCTTCCTCGACTGGATTCAGATGTAAAGCTGCTGCACACACACAAACACACACAAATAGACTGTAAATAAAGATGGAAGACATGGACAGCCCCCCAAAAGTGAAGCCAAAGCTTCTCAATCTATCGCCTCCTGGTTGCTGGCACCAGTATGAGTCATAAACCCTGCCTCCTCCATGTTAGTGGATGAGTCATGGAACAAACTAAAAATTCCACGTCCACTTTAATTTTTCCAAAAGATGGTTTCTGTCATTTTAGGTAGTTCTTATTGTACTTTGTATGTTTAAGTGTTTCTGATAAGTTTCTTTAATTTGTAAATCCCAGACGTCGTCTTTCAACTTTACTCACGGTCTGTGATGAAATAAAACGTCTTTCATCTGTCTGTTCAAAAAATCATAATAAAAGTATGGTAAAGTATAAAATGCTCAAATCCTTAATTTCAATGCATCAAATATCATCATTATATCAACAGTTTGTCATTGTTTGTTTTTACTCTGACTCATTCATTATCTTTGGACGGTCTGATGTCTGAGCTGGAACCCCTGAAGACATTTCTCTTTATTTGTAGAGACTGATCCCTGGTGGTTTAGTGGAGCTGTTCACACTCGAGCTCCAACAACACAAATTATCTCAAAGTTGAGAATTATGTTTATAATTGTCAGTTGGCTTTGATCACTTGTTATAATCCTCCATGGTCTCGACCATCACGAAACGTATTGATCCCGTATGTGCCTGTACGCAGCCTGGATGCAGGTGGATCCTGGCTGTTCCATCGTCCAGGTTGAAAACTAAACCGTGACCGTGCTTTTACCATCAGGGCCCCTCGGCTCTGGAATGACCCCTGCAGATAAGGCAGTGACTTATTTTAAATCACTTCTCAAAACCCATTGTATAGACTTGCTTTCAAGTGATGTCGTGTTTATACAGTTTTTATTGTTTTCTTTTCACCTTTTAATTTACTAGTTTGTTTTTTTTGTTGTTATATTTCTGCTTTTATCTGTTCAAGTTTTCTTGTGACATATTTATTCGTTAAATTTGAACACAGCCTCGTTCTGAGCACCTGAACTTGGTTGTCCGTCACATTGCATCCTGCTGATTATTATTTCTCTTATATTTACTTTTCTAGTTTAAACTCTGTTTTTAAAAGGTACCATGTAAGTTAGACTACTGAGAAAGCTCGATACAGAAAATGTTAAAATGAGATTCTATTCAGAAACTTGCCATTTCTCTGTATCAAAACAGACACAATATGTAATTGTTTCTACTAGAAGATCAGATCCTGAGACTTAATTTGGAATCATTTAGATTTTTCAAATCTTCGAACAGTGCTTTTCTTTTGAAATCTATTGATTGGACAATCCGTGAAAGATTCTAACAACATCATCTGACACCTCACACATCGTGAAGCAGTTCACTGGAAATGTGGAATTTCAATGTAGAACTGTTTTGAAGGAGTTTTACAGAATGATTTCATAGTTGGCATCATTTGTCATTTCTGTGAGAAACATGACCGACCACAAAGACGATATTGATTTGCTGTTTATTCAGTCGCCACATTAGATTTGTAACCAGGCCTCTTTACTGAGAAAATGACTGATCCCATTTCCACATGAGTTTCCTCCTCCACAGAATTATACTTCACTCTGTCTGTTGGACTTTGTGAAGACGATGGATTTAAATGTCTTCGTCAGGTTAAATTTTGTCCTTTTCAATGAAAACACTCAACCATCAGATGTCAATCACAACTCGCTCCAGATTTCATTGGTAATTTGCTGCCACCTAGAGGATTCAGAGCCGCTCTGCATGGTTCAGACAGGATGTATAAGATAAAAACAAACATTACTTTTTTCTTTTTGTATTTTTCTAACTGATTTTATAATTTCAAATTTTTCTGAACCTGCACAATTTAGATCTGTGTTGAATTCAAAATGTCAACTTCACTTTCAGCTCATGTTTCAAATTGTATTTAAATTGTGTTAAATTTTGCAGGTACAGAAAAAGACATGGTTGGATACTGTAAAAAAATACAAGAAGATTAGAGTGTTTGTTATTATCTTTCAGATCCTGTTTGAACCATGTCATATGTAAATAAAAACAACAGTAATAGTAGGAAATAACTTTGAGATAGTATGAATAATAATAATAATATTATTATTGTTATAGGTCATTATTGGATCATAGTTATAACATATAAAAAATATGTTACTATCATTTCCTGTAAACAATAATATCTATAACATATGTTGTTTCCCCTTTAATGTATTTTTCTTTTCTTTTTTTTTGGAAATGTCGATGATACTGTCCACATGGGGGGGGAGGGGGATGTCAGGATGACACATCCAGAGGCAGGAGGAGGATAGTGTTTTCATCATGTAGAAGCAGGCAGAGAGTTAGATACACAGAGACAGACAGACAGTCATACAGACACACAGAGACAGACACACAACAGACAGACAGAGACAGACAGACTCAAACTTCATGTGAGCCTGAGATGCCTTCAGACAGAATCTGACGCGTCCTGCTGTTTCCTCCACAGACTCCAGAATAAAGAGGTGAGATTTATTTCCTCCGGGTTCGTGTCCCTAACGCAGATGGCACTGCTCTGATCCACCACTCCTCTTCCTCTCTCCTCTTCCTCTCTCTCCTCTTCCTCTCTCCTTCTGCCTCGGCATCAATTTTCAATGCGTCGCACCCTCGTCAAGGTCTTTTGTCGAACTTTGCTTGTGACACATAATCTCACGGACTCGTGATGACGCTGGTGTCGCAGACTGAAGAGAATCCAGCGGTTTGCAGCTGCTCGGAACCAGAATCAGGTTTTCAGCACCAAGGACAGAGCTGCTGCGCAGTTTGGATCCAGGAGGCAGCGACACGACGTAACTGCGTCTGTGAATCACCCTAACGTCACTTTATCACCATCTGCAAACAGTCACTGCAACAATCCAGGATGACATGTGACTTGTTTTTGGTTTCCAGCTGTTGTTGTGTTTTCAGAGACACCTTCACTGTTACTGTGCTCATCTGTATAATCGATGAAGTCACTCAGATCATAACAGATGGACGTTATAATTAGAGCATGAGCTGTTAAACTTGTGTCTCAAGTCCTGGCAGTTTATTTCTCTTACAGCTTCATGCACTTGATTTGTTTTACAATAAGAATATGGAAAATCTGGAGCAAAGTCTGTTCTGAGCAGAAAGCTTCTCCTCCTCTCGAGAGAGAAAACTTGCAGGATGAAGTTCAGATGACGGAAGGGTTTTTATTCTGAATGCTGGATGCATCAGGGAGACCAGGCAGATGAGCCGTACAGGAAGTTTAAGGTTTTCTTGGCCACATACCTTAAGTCTCCATGTGGCGTTTCTGTTCAAATGTGTCCAAACCTTGGCTCGTCTCGCCAAACCATTGTTGTGTCTTCTCTATATGTCTCAGACAGTGTCTCAGTCACAGCCCTCTCCCAGCGACATGTCTTAATATCTATTCTAGCTAGTTTTAAGCAGCTTTATCTTTACAAAGATGTTCTGCAGTCCAAGAGGATTCAGTTGCTTCAGAAAATTTCACCGCAGGAAAATATCTCACAGTCCTACACCAAAACAATCAGCACGACTAAATGAAGCTTGTGACAGTGAGAAGATGTTTCTGGAAATATCCTAGCATTAAATGTCAACGTGCTATTTTCAAAAAGCATTAATAGAGTGAGATTGTCTCTGATGTTCTGCAAACACGGCTAAAGTTGAATTATTTCAGGCTTTATTTTGCTTTGATGACTCATTCTCTTTTTCATGAATTATTAAATTTAGTATAATAAGTATGAATAGTTAGTAAAATAGTTTAATCAACTGTGTAATTGATAGACTGTGACTGTGTTTCACAGGAGCAGAAAATGGCAGCTGCAGACGTCCTCTGCCTCACGTTGTGGATCGCCACAGTCTTCACCGCTGGACTCGGCTGCCCTGAGTTCTGTGGCTGCTCCGACAAACACGGCCGCCATGTTGCTGAATGCTCCTACAAAGAAATCACAGAAGTTCCGCGTGGTTTTCCGTCCAACGTAACAACCATGAGTCTCTCCGCTAATAAGATCAGTCTGATACCACTTGGGAGTTTTGACAATGTGACCCAGGTGACGTCGCTGTGGATGGCCAACAACCAGATCGTCTCCATCGAACAAGGGACCCTCGCTCCTTTGGTTCATCTGCGTTACTTTGACATCAGCCACAATAAAATTGTAGATTTTCCCTGGGAGGATCTGCAGAACCTCACCGGCCTGCATCTGCTGAAGATGAACCACAATGAGATGACCCACCTGCCGATGAACGCCTTCTCCAACCTAAGGGACCTGAGGTCCATCCGACTCAACAACAACAGATTCACAACCATCGCAGAGGGGACATTTGACGGTTTGGTGTCTTTGTCCCATTTGCAGATTTATAACAATCCGTTTTCATGCACCTGTTCCCTTGACTGGCTCCGAGCCTGGATTTCAACGACCACCATCTCAGTCCCGGAGCAGAATTGGATTGTTTGTGAAAGTCCAGAGAAACTCAAAGGGGAAGTGATTGGAAAGTTCCCAGAGTCAAAGTGCACGAGCCCAAATGTCACAATACAAACAAATATTCATAACTCGACTGTGGAGGAGGGGAGAACATTGGTCCTGACTTGTGAATTCAAAGGAAACCCAAAGCCACTTGTCCTGTGGAATATTCGCAGCAGAAGCCAGAGGCAGGAGGTGGCTTTGTCGTTCACCGAGGACGACTCTGCAGAATCAAACGAGGACTATGCACTGTCCCATCATCGCTTCAAAATCTTTAACAACGGGACTCTAATCATCCCACACCTCAAGAGAGAAGACGCCGGTAGCTACAGCTGCTCGGCCACAAACGAGGTTGGCAGAGCTGATGATTCGGTGTCAATAATGGTGGCGGCTTCACCACAACGAACACACATACCACAGAGGACCACCCAAACACGCCCAACAACAGAGAAAATATCTGTTTCTGACTCTGTGCGTCTGCTGAAAGTAAGGACAGAAGACACCACGAGCGTTTTGCTAACTGTCTCACCCACTGCAGAGATGAATTCTCAGTCTTACGAAGAGGAAACAAAAGATCCGTCACGTGCCAGTAAATGTGGCCTGACGGCAAATACCAGGTACATTTCTAGCCACGTCGTCAACGGCAGCCTGGATGACATCAAACACTACACATTTGATTTTGGCGTCATTGCGTTAGGGGTGTCAGAGACGGAGGCAACAGTGCGACTCAACCCACTTCTCATACCCAGAGAGAAGAGCAGCAACCGGGCTGTTCCCACATCTGGGAGCCTCCACACGGACAGGGGAGAAGATCATGACCTTTCAGATGTCTCAGAAAAAGTCCACACCAATGGCTTGTACCTGTGCATCTCTGCCGATCGCAAACACTCGGCCGTGCAGTGGTCGAGAATCAAAGAAGGCGTGAGCACATATCAGTTCAGCGGTTTACGCCCCGGCACCAACTACTCCCTGTGTCTGACCTACAGAGGAGACGACTGTGAGGTGCAGGTGCTGTTCACCACCAGGAGGAGGGTCCCCAACCTGCTCATCATCGTCTCCGTCAGCATCTGCCTCCTCACCGTGTCGACCGTGCCTCTGCTTGGCGCCACCTGCTTCCACCTGGTGTACAAATACCGCAGCAAGACGTACAAGCTGATCCTAAAGGCCAAAGACCAGTACCACATGGAGAGGAACCTCACCGCCAACTTCAACATCCGAGCACCGCACACCGACTCCCAGAGGAAGATTAACGGCAGCCAGCTGGACGAGGAGGAGGGGGAGAGCATGGACGGAGAGAGAGAAGCAGATACGGAGGAAAGTGTGGTGACCGAGTCACTCACTTTGTCCCAGTGCCGAGGAAATTTAGACGACTGTGAGGTCGGATCTGAGTTCAGTGATAAGTTACCTCTGGGAGCTGAAGCTGTGAATATTACGAGCAACTACAAATATCCAAATCAGTAAATGATGAATGTTTCTAATAATGATTTGTAGTTTGGTTTTTTTTCAAGCTAAAACAGGTTTCAGTCTGTGGTTAAGGTTCCTTTAAGCTTTTTAAAAGCAGCAAAGAAACACTGAAGATTAGAAAATATATTTCTGTGTTTTAAACCACATGCAGAGCTGAAACATTCAGAAGCATCAGAGGATGTGAGTGAACGCTGCAGTGGACCTGTGTTCATCTTGTTATGCACGTTTTTGTAGTTTGTATTTCTCACAACAACTAGAAAGAAAAAATACAACGAGCTTGTGTTCGACTAAAAGCAAAGATTTGATGTTTCCAAGCCAGACTTTTGTCTAATCATGAGTAAAAACTGTTTAAGATTTTGAGAAATACATGTATGTGCTTTTTTGGCAATGGTAAAATGAAAAACTTTCATCTGTCTGGTAAATATAAAACTTTAGGCAGCAGCCTGCGTCACATATGAAATATATAAAGTATAATGTAGACTAGATATAAGCAGGAGTAACTGTTACTTAAATGTACTAATATTCTGCTTTAAGCTATTGATCTATGCTGTCGTATTACTGTAGAAGTGCAGTAGCCTAAAAATACAGACACAGGTTTTAATGTTTATAAAAACTGTGTTTCAAAGAGAAATAATTATTTCGTGTCCTGCAGCCGTGAGCTCAGTGTTGAACTGTGAACGTTTCCTATGGAGAAAACTGTTTCCGTGTTGAATCAAACTGGGTGTTTGTCAAACAAAACATTAATTCAGTATTATCATCACGTCTTTGATAGTAAAAGCACCAGTGAGTGTGTATGTGAAGCTGCTGTTCTTGTATCCAGGTCATGTGTCCATCCTGTTTTTCTACTGTGTTAGACCAGAGATAAACTTGCTTTTAACTAATGGGCACGCTTCCTCTAGTGAAGTACTCCGGTAACATGTATACTCGTAGTACATAGCAAGTATAACGTTCATAACGTGCTTCGCAAATGTGCATAAAAACAAGTATAGCTCCGGCCTTAGAGAACCTGCATGCTGTTGTTGTTGTGAGTCGCAGTTTGTTGTTTCTTGTGAACAAATTCTTAAAGAAAAGTTCTGCCCTTGTGTCTTTTTTCCGTTTGATAAATTATGTTTTTACCGAAGTGTTTAAATATTTTCACGAGCTTTAACCCTCTGATCCTTCGTGCCTCAATAAAGTTTGGACAAAACAATAACATTAACGATCATTCATTTGTCTCCCAAAGTTCAGCACTAGCATTTAAATGGTTAGTTAGTTAGTTAGTTAGTTAGTTAGCTAGCTAGCTAGCTAGCTAGCTACATTCAGTAAAACATCAATATCATTTTTTACATTATCCTGTCACCATCTGCAAATACACAGAGGAGCAAGAAAAAACCTTTGAGGCCAGTAAGTAAAGACTTTTTTTGCTCAATCACAAAAATAACGGTTTAACAGTTTTTATACATTATTTATAAATTAACGGTCAATAAACCATAAAATCTTCATTTAGAAAAATCTAAATAATAAATCCATCAACTTTCTGAATGAACATGTGTAAGATGCTAGGGGGACTAATAACACTAATAACACTTCACAAACTATTTAATACATTTTCAATCATTGTAGTTTATACATGCATACGTTTTGGAATTTTAAAATAAAATAACCACACAACAGCATCATGTACTAAATAAACTAAATAAAATATGCATTTTTGAAAGTACCTATTTAAGCAACAATTTTAACAACATACTTTGTGTGAGTCTTTTATTTTCTGCAGCAGTCAAACATCACAAATTTGAAAAACTGTATCACCTGTATATTAAAAACAGCTGAAGGCATCAGAACTGTGATCTGTGATAATGTTCAGCAGCATCAGTGTTTATGTCGATTGTAGCAGATACATCACATCATATTTGCAACTAAAGTGAGTGAAAGTATCGTCACGTTGTTGCTTGATTCATGATCGTACAAGTCTCCTAACGAGCATCAGGGAGAAGAGAAAGACGGTGAAGAGCAGCTGATGCTGACACAACTGGATCAACCAGGAGGTGAAAATAGACTAATGTCCGACCTCTTATCGACCCTCCGCTCCAGCTGTGACGCTGACATTGATCAGTCTGTTGAAGTGAAGCTGAAATTACCAAGAGGCCTTTAGACCGTTAGAAAAGTGTGACACAGTTTTCATCAGTAGCTCGGACCTGGGTCATGTGACGGCTGGAGCTGATGGGATCACGTAGTAGTAATAGTTACGTGTATATTCTGGCGAAGTGTCCACGTGTTTTGAATTGTTGACACTTTGTTTGATTCGTTGTGCATTTGAAGAAAAACGTATTTAAGCTCTGTACTTTGACTTTTTTATTTGGTCCGTGTCTCATCCACTTACATGGAAGAGGCTGGGTTTACGACCTATAGTGCAGCCAGCCACCAGGGGGCGATCGTGACACTTTGGCTTCACATTGCTGAAGCTGTCATGTCGTCCACCTTTATAAATAGAGCCTATGGTTCACACTCAAAAACAAAATAACAGGTTTGCAAACAAAAATCTGCTCGATCGCCGAGTGCTAAATATAAATGAAGGTTTTAGGCACCTTAATAATGTCTCAGCTGGATCTTTCCCAAACCTGCACGATATTAGAAATTAATTCTTATTATTATATATAAATAATATATTATATCTAAACTATAAAACCCCTAAAAGACCCAGAGATCGTGTCAAATCAAAAATCTTACAGCATAACATATACCACACTAATACCATAGATACTGTTCACAAAGACGGACTGAGACGTGAGAAGATAAAATAAAGATAATAAAATCAGTGGTTTCAAAGTATCGTGTGCTGCTGAACTCTTGAGTTTCATTTGAACTCACCCTGACCTCTTCCTCCCGACCAGAACTTACACAAAGTTTACTGTTTTCTTCCGAGCACATTATTTTATTTGGAGTAAACAACCGACCGTACTGTGTCTCAATCCGTTTTATCTTGATTCGTCGGGGTCTTGGCGGCCTGGACGGGCTCGGCAGCCATCTTGCAGGCCTCCTTCTTGCTGCCTCTCTTGGGCGTGCCGTTGACGACGCCCTCCGAGGGCTGCAGCGTCTGGAAGTGCTTCCTGGAGCCCAGCAGCGACGGGTTGTTGACCAGCGTGTACATCAGCTGCCAGCGAGCACGAATCCTATGGCTGCTGGTCGCCTTGCTCAGTGTGGTCACCTGAATCCCTGAAAGCATGAAGAAGGAGAAGGAGGAGGAGGAGGAGGAGGCTGTCAGGGTAGAAAGAGACACTGAAGGGTAGAGGGTCTAAGATCTACTGAGTGCGTGTGTGTGTGCAGTTCACGGTCTCCTCTACCTTCCTCTGCATCTCGTATTTTCTGTCCAGCTCGGCCTCCCTCCACCATCATGTCCAGCAGCAGCCCACAGAAAGCCTTCATCACCGGGTGAGACTGGCTGACTTCCACCCTCAGGAACTGGGTGTAGTATCGGTAGGCTGGACGAGGTCAAAGGTCAAATATCATTAACTCAAAACAGACCAAAGTCCACACAACTTGATTTTTATGGGCTAATGCTGGAATTAAATGATCCCACCAAACACGTGTTACATGTGATCATGAAGTGATTTAAAAGCAGCGTTGTGGTCGTACCTGGGTCGTAGGACTCTGACGTGCGGTGCAGCAGACTGATGTCGACACGACCAAGATGGAGGATGTTGAACAAAGCCGTTATCACCATCCTCCAGATGGCGACTATCAGCCCCAGCACGGTGTTGACCAGGAAGAGCAGGTAGGTCAAGAGGAACAGGCTGTCTCTGAAATCAGCACGGAAATAATTCAGCAACTTAGAAAATGAAAAAAACATGACACAGTTGGTGAAACTCGAGCTTGTTTAAAGAAGTTGCACGAAGTCTTTTAATTGTTTTCATGGTGGAGCTCCATCGTGTCTGAGAAAATATAAATTGTATTTCAGCTCATTATTTTTATTTTCCTCTTGTGAATTCTCCATATTTATTGAACTGCGATGCTGAGTTGAATTAATATTTAATGTGGGAATTTGATGAGATCAAAAAATTTAAAGGAAAATTCTGGACTGGCACGATTGAGGGAATTATTTATTTACAGCATGTATTTATTTCTTGGTGTAAAAGTACTCAAAATACATACACTGAATTTAAATATACTGGAATCCAGTTAAAAAAGAAAATGTATTGAATCAGCATTTAACATTTAATCAGCAATTAAACCATTGTGATTTCTTCTTTCTCTAATTAAACATATTCCTCGTACCTGTTTTTCAAGTCTCTTGTTCCAGCTTCTTTTTTAATGAAAGCAAACTTAGCAGTCACATGTTGAAGGAGTGTGACCAGCAGGAGTGTGAGCCAGGCCGGCCTGAGACGTCACACACAGCAGTGACGCAAAATGAAAAAGAGGAAAATAAAGAAGTTATTTCTGTTTTGATGATTTTGTCACGTAATAAAAAGGAAAAGCGTCGCTGACTCACCACGCCTTTCCTGCGATTTCAAAGACGATGAGGTTACGTCCATAAAAAACAGGGATGATGATCAGAAACACCAGGAACAGGAAGCAGATGAAAAACACGACAGTCTGGACGGCCATTCCTGTCAGAACCACACAGACGACGGGGTTTTTAATCCTAAACTCAAAACTCATCTCTTCTTTGAGTCTTTTCCACAAAGCAGTTCATTAAAACACTTTAATGAGACAATCTGGAGGATGATTGCTGCTTTTTTTCAGTCTTCGCTCCAAAAGGTAATCGAAGGACAAAGGCGGAGTTATGCTGCGTCACACAAATCCAAATTAAAGTTAATGTCAGAGACGATTTTCAGTCTCACCGAGGCAGATGATTGCAGCCTGGTATCCCGTCAGACCCATCCAACACACGACCCCAGCTTTGGATGGACAGAGGCTCTTCTGGCTGTTATAGATGCTGTAAATGTCTCCTTTATACAGTCCCCTCAGGTTTGACCTAAAAACATATTCAGATAAGAAGAAGGAAAAATATGTTTTAAAGTAAGAACAACATCATTTGGTCAAAAACATTCAGACAGACTGTGGCTAAAGAATCATTTAATTTTGATTTATAATACAGAAATATATTTATTATATGTAAATTGGCCCTTTCTAATTAATTGGAATGAATGTATATTGTTTTGTTTTAGTTTTTCCACTGAAATAAATGATTTCAACAAAAACTAAACTCAAACTCGTACTACATTAAAATACACACTGGTTTGAATCCAGGTTAATATATCTCATCTTATTGACTATTTATAATTTTACACAGCGAACATTCAGTCTGTCTTTTTATGACTCCTTGGATCAGAAAATCCTGTCAATGGCCACAAAGAAAATATTCTTTCCCTGTTTTTAAAAATAAAGTAATATTCAAATCAGGAAATTAAATATGTGAATAAACCCCTCAATGAAAACCTCCAGAATAAAGATAAAACTGAACAGTTTGGTGCATCTAAGGTGATTGTTGTGAATATTTCTGTCCCGAAAAACAGTACATAAGTCGCATTAATGTTTATGTTGGATGTTTTATTTCCTTTTGTCTGAACTAAATGTTGTGGAAAAAATATTTCGCCCAAATGTTTCTTTTGACATACTAATCAATTAAGGTTTTATTAATAGTATTTAAATATTCACATGTGTAGAAATATTGTGATTTTTATTAAAACAGACATTCAGTGATTTTACGTGACGTACCTGTGGAGAACCAAAGACCTCATGAGCATGGCCAGACTGACCAGACAAGACAGAGTCATGGCACACAGGTAGCACACTGACGACACGGTGCAACAGAAAACCAACAAGTTATTACAATTCTCCTCAAAGATAAACTTTAAGGATTCGTTCAAATGCCAGAATGTGACGATCACGTACCTTCCAGCAACCACGTGTAGAAAGTCACGATCTTGACGACCTCCATCCTGTCGTCTGATAGAACGATCCCAAACCCCAACAACAGGAAGGCGATGTTTTCATCAATGCCTGCACGGACGATGTGGAGAGTCGGGACGACCAGGACGACCAACAACAACGCCGCCTGAGAGGAGAGTTATCGAGCCAGTGTGACGGGTTTATGGTTTTACAAAGTTAAACAGCTGTAAATACACGTGTGTCACATGATGAGCTGATGGAGGACTCACGTGATATATTGCCACGAGGGCCACGAACACAGATACCGCCAATTTTAATGGAAAACGAAACACTGAAAGACAAAATGTCATTTCTTTTACAGATGTTTCGCATTTACCTTTTAATTTACATTAGTGTAATCTTGATTTAAAAAATATACGCATTTGTGAGAGGGCACTCACCTTTTTCTGGTATATAAATATAACCCTTGGGAACCTCCAGTATTCTCTCGACAAGTGTTGGTTTGTCTGCAGATGAAGAGCTTCATGAACACAGAGAAGTTGAGTTTTAAAACGTGGTAGTTGTTTTCAATTCATTGTCATTACTTTTCATTACAGGTTTTTTGTTTCAGTGAAATAATATGACACCTTGTGTTTTACAGCCCAGTGACATATTTACATCCATTCACCTGACAGCAGAGGACCTTTTCTTCAGAAGCTCTTTCACATAGTTGGTGTAGTAGCTGCTGTCCAGGTCCTGTCAGCGAAAACAAAACAAGACGTCTTCTTGTAAATATATATTTATTATAAACTAAAGCATTCAGAGAACATCTGTGATCGATATTGATGTAGAAGATGAGATGGAGTGAAACCATCGTTGTCTTCAGATGAGCTACAGAGGTTAAAATAAAACACAATTACGTCAAACACATGATGACAAAGAGCTTTGGTTTTCCTGTTTGTTTAATCTCACCACAGAGTTCTTTTCAAAACCACTGACCAAACTTTGTGAGGATTAAACCTGCTGCAAAGCTGAAAGTAGAAAATATCACCTCCTCTGTCATAATCTGCTCACGTACGCTGAGTTAAACCCACTCTTCTGAGCAAGCTGCTTACAGTAATCACGGTTATGCTTCACATAGTTGAAATTCATGTTTCTTCCATTCACATGCACCAGAGTCGGACATTTCTACATGTTGGTATTTTCACATAAATCTATGTTTCAACAAAGGAAACGTGGTTTAACGTTCTTTACTCTCACCTCATCAGTCTTTGGTCCTTTGACAAAAAGCAACAGAAACTGGACGCACATGTACGCGAGGCAGGCCAGCTGAGGAAGACTGGCAAACAGAGCGTAGTACTTATAGATCTGAGGAGAGAGAAAGGGTCTGTTAAAGGACCAGTTCAGCCAAAATCACTCAAACTGTTTTATTTGCCAGAGTTTAAAAGGAATAAACTTGTTGCCTCCGGAGTCTTGGGACAGTCGAACTTCTGCCACACCAGGACCCCGAAGTGACTGAAGGAGAGCAGCGCCCCGAACACGTAACCGGTTCTGCGCTGCAGAGTGCCGCAGACCAACAGAGGGTAATACAGGACGGGATAGTAGAAGATGGAGATGATCTTCATGTACTCTGACAAAATACAGGATATCAGAAAGGAGCGTTTCAGTCTATGGACAAAACAACTCTGAGTCATTATACAAAAGATTTTCTTGAAACTTGAAACATAAACTTTTGAAGTGGATTCAATTAAGGGAATTGATTTTTACTTTTTTTAATTGCCTTGCTAGAAGTATGATCACCCTAATAGATTTCTGTTTCACCATCTTTATACAACCTAGTGTATTCAGCTCATTATCAAATCATATAATGTCATGCCCCAGTTTTCTCTAATTTTGTGATTGTAGAACTTTCTCTCTTCTTTATATTCCCTCTGTTTTGATCAAATTTAGTTCTAATTGCAATTTATTTTCATATAACAAATCTAAAAAATCTTGAACATGGTCATTTGCATGATTTTCACATTCTGAGCTTATTATTATTATCTACAAAGACAGGAAATGTTTTCAGAAGCATACGTGTAACCATCAAACAAGGTTTAAAACATAATCCTTTCATTCCACTGAGGATGAACTGAACACACAAAGTTCCACCTTTAATTTCCCCTGGAGTATCTTTGCAGAAAGGCAGCGGGTCTGGGGCGATCACCAGCACGGCCAGCTTACTGAACAGCAGCCCGAACACAGCCATGACCAGGCCTTTTTCCTGAGTCTGGTCCAGGAAGTTGTTTGGACTGTGAGATCAAACGTTTTATTAAATTCATTTTATCCTGCATTTTATTTTTTAAAAGATATTTAGGAGAAGAGAGGAGTCCCATCTGTCAAACTCACCTGAAGATGCTGGAGGATCCTCTGGTGAATCCTTGGCAGAATTTGTTTTTCCTGGAGAGAATCGCCAGAATCAACATGATCACCAGCTGCAGGGGAGAGAGGATGTTTGGTTTGGAACAGCACATCAAACCCAGAATGTTTAAAGACATTCAATCATATTATAACATGGACAGATGTGGACGTGAGTTTTTAAAACTGTTTTCATCGAAATAGGTTTCTTTTTAACTTTATGTCACAAAAGCTCATGGTTTTAAGTTTTGATAAATTACCACTATACATTAAAAAAATGTATAAACATAAACACGATTATTCAAATTAAGTTGATGATAAAACAAAGCACTGAAGTTCTATTATCTTCCACACTGCAGCTCCTGTAAAGAATCTCATTCTGCAGGGAACATTCCTCTCCTTGTTATTTCTGATCAGCTGCAGTGACCCAGCTGTCACGGCTCATAATCTGCCCGACGAGGAAATTGGACCACGTCCATTCTGCGCATAATAAGAGGGGCCTCCGAGTTAAAGTGGCCCTCACTTGTAAAACAACAAAATGACAGTAAACATCATTAAATCTGTCGTCTGTTCGAGGTGAAGGCAGCTGATGAACCGATAAAGGGTTCATGGAAAAGTCAGGAAGGATTTAAGGGACGAGGCAAAAACTTCCGAAACAAATCACTCTGTCAAGTTAAGTTGGATTTAGACAGAAGATAATGATGTGTAAAGAGATATATAGATAAGTATAGATATTAATGTCTATACATCAGCTCTATCATAACATTTTGTCAGGTTATGCATTAAAAGGGAGTTTTATTTATTGCTAAATTAAAGGGGCAGGGTTTTGGATTTAGTGACATCTAGGGGGGAAGTTGCATATTGCACCTGACTGGGAGAATGAGCCAGTGTTTTGTTTGATCATTCTGGGCGACTGGAAAAACATGGCGGTGCAACAGGTCGGACTCATGTGGTTATAAACAGCTCGTTCAACACAATCAAACCATCATTTCATTCAGGTTTGTGATGATAAATTCTTCTCAATCCTTCACACGTGACTTACACAACAAACTGGTACAGACTATTTTCTAAATATTCAAATCTCATAATGTCGATTATGAGATCAACGCTATGTTTAAGGATTGTTTAGGATTCAGTTTAAAAAAGGTTTAACAATTTCAGAGATTACGTGTTAAAGTAAAATGAAACTTTCTCAGAGTTAGTTTGTTAAGTTCAAGATTTAAAGAATTAAAACACTCCGTAGATGTACAGTGGTTTTCTTAAAGTGTGATGTTGACTGTCACCTGACCGTCTCCCATTAATATACAATATGGCCACATGTGACATTTTTGGGCTTTTGCACAAACAACTGTTGTTTTTTATCTTCTATAGGACGAACAGCATCTTATATCCT